GGAAAACCGTCTTTGAAGGAAGAAACCTCCAGCAAAACCGAGCTCAGCTCTGAGTGATAATGTGATAAAAATAGTAAATATTTTCCATTATTTTATGTCAGAACAAATATTAATTGTTTGTAATATCTTTGGTCTCATGGTCTTCTCAGGACCCGGGCTTGCCTTCATCGCCTACCCGAGAGCTGTAGCCATGATGCCCGTACCCCAACTCTGGGCTGTCTGCTTCTTCCTCATGATCATCATGCTGGGGTTGGACACACAGGTAGATGCAGACTAACACCCTCGACAAACTTTGAATTTCTCTGCACTGGCGTTGCGTTCGGTGTCACGGAAACACGCCGACATATGTGTCTCGTGCAGTTTGTGAGCCTGGAGGCCCTGATGACATCCGTGACTGACCTGTACCCTCACCTGATTAGACGAGGTCACCGCAGAGAGCTGCTGTTGCTGTTTGTCTGCATCGTCTGCTTCCTGGTTGGACTGGTCATGGTCACACCGGTAAGTCACACCGGTGGATGGATGTGTTGTGTTGGAGAAGTAGCCTGTTTTTAATGATTCGTCTCTTCTGTGTGGTGCAGGGTGGTCTGTATGTGTTCCAGATCTATGACCATTTCTCCTGCAGTGGAGCCAGTCTGCTGCTTCTCTCCATCTTCCAGTCTCTGGCCATCGGCTGGGTCTACGGTACAAATCCCAACTCTAGCCTGCTCCTTGCCCTTTCATCACCTGTTTTCTGTCCTCATGATTCTTCCCTCCACTCTATATTTCCCATTCCTTTTTCTCTTCTTCCCCGTTTCCTTTTCCTTCCTTTTCTGATCATCTCCCCTTTTCCTCATCTCTTCTGTTTTGTGTGCCCTTTTACTTCTTTTTTCCTTCTCCTTCCCTTTCCTCTCCTCCTTTTCCCGTCTTTATCTAATCTCCTTGTCAATCTAATCTTTCATTTCCTTTCAATTTTAATCGTTTCCTTGTCTTCCCCTTTTTTCTCCTCGTCACACTGCTCTCTTTCTGATCCTTCGCAAACTGACTCTTCCGGTGTAACATTTCATTTCCCTAACTCCTCTTCCCCTTTTTCTTTTAAATACTTTTTTCAATGTTCTTATATTTCTTGCCATCCTATTTTCCTGGTTCTTTCCTTTATCTTGTTTCCACTCTTGTTTTGAATTCTCTTTTCTTTCCATTTTTTAGCTTATTTTCCATTTTCTTTGATTTTCTTTTTCCTGCTTTGGTCTCCTCTCTTCTTGTTTGATTTTTATTTGCTCTTTTCTTTTCTTTAATGTAGCACTAAATTAATGGAAAAATAGTGTCCGAGTCATTTCTGCTAGTCTGACTTTAATTAAATTCAGTTGGAGCTCAGGCAGTAGGATAATGAGATTATACATAATCTTAAGCTGGTTGCTGTTATATAGAAAATAAAAAGAACTTTTATCACTAATGAATATAAGTCCTCAAATCTGATAAACACACACAGTCTCGCTGTCCACTTCCTCCCCTCCTCCGGCATTCCACTTAGAGGCAGTAGACAGTATATTAACATGGCTGCAGCTACCCACTGTTGTAAGGAGACTGGCTCCGAGCCAGGCCCCTGTCTGTCTCCTCCGGGCCCTAAATCAGCCTCCGGGCCCTGTCGCCTCTCAGTCTCAGTCTGCTGGCCCCAGGGAGCCCCCACTCCAGCCAGACATGGAGGTCTGAAGCATTCACAAAAACACTGTTTGTTTAAAAGTGCAATGGAGGGAGTGTTTTATATGCATACATCAGGACAATGCAGTAAACGCTCAGTGAGGTTAGACAGTCGACTTTAAGTGTTAGAAAAAATATATGTTGCCATTTCATGAGATAAAAAATAGGCTGAATACTCCAGCAGAGAATGTGTTTGTAGGTATGGGTGCTTATTAGGACCAAAAATACCACACCACAGCGTTCACAACTCTGCTGCACCTTTTCCCCCTTTTTACAGCTGTGGGAATTTAGTTTTTTAAGGACTCTGATGACCACTAACACTCCTGTACCGCTGGTTATGTGGCCCTGGAGGGAACGGTTCGTGGGGGACAGCCAAGGGGGGCGTGATTCTTAAACTAGCAGTGAGAATGTCTGACGGTCTTGGACTCGTTTGAGAACGGAGCAGAGGAATAACTGGAAATTTACCACCAGCAAGTGGGTGTCATGTGTCCTCTTTTTACCTTCTGAGGTGGAGTAACTGAAAGAAAAGCTGCAGACAACTTCCTCAGCCGACTCTCCCGAGATTCTCCAGCTTTCATGTGTCAAAATTGCTTTAAGGTTATTGAGTAAGTCATTACAGTGTGGTGGTTTGTCCTGTTTCTACCCCTCCTTGAGCCTGGTTCTACTGGAGATTTCTTCCTGTTAAAAGGGAGTTTTTCCTTCCCACTGTCGCCAAGTGCTTCCTTATAGGGGGTCGTCTGATTGTTGGAGTTCCTTTTTAATATTGTAGATGTTTCTTTTCTTACAATATAAAGCGCCTTGAGGTTGTTGTGTTATATATTAATAAAACTGAATTAAGTTGCAGAGTATGTGACAGTTTGTGCTCCTCCTACTACCACTCCAGACAGAAAAGGAAAGAGCTGTAGGTACTGATAGCATTTTGCTCACTTTCTTAAGCCTGCAGAGAAAAGCACTAGTGTGGATTTCAGGAGGGTTGGTAGTCAGACAGTTTGGTGTGTGTCCTCAGCTTCGCCAGTATATCACAAGATTACAACAAAATTCCACACAACTGCCCAAAAGGAGAAAATAACATGATGGCATTTCATATCTGAAAGGTCAAAGGTCATTCACCGTGATGTCAGTGTATGAGCGTGGACAGGCTGTAAACAGCAGCTTGGCTGTTTGTCCTGTGCAGCGGTGATTTCAGTTATAATTTGTTTTTCTCTCCTTTTTTTTTTTTGCTTGTATTTTCCGCTCTGGCGGTGAATACCAGGAAGAAAAAATGTTCTCTAAGCACAGTTGGCCACCGTTGCCAAACCATGATGTGAACTGAACCACAACCAAACCTCACTGTGTTTTTGTTTTGGCCACAGGAGCAGAGCGCTTCAGCGCCAACATCAGGGATATGACCGGCCACAGCCCTCTTCCTTTTTTCAACCTGTGCTGGAAATACTTGACCCCGATCGTGTGCACTGTGAGTAACCTCCACCCGCTGACCTGCATTCCACTTTGTTATGAGCTGTTTGCTGTGAAGTAGGATGTCCATTAGCACAGGTGTGGGACTTCATACAGATTCCACCTTCCGCCTCTCAGGAAAATATCAGGGTTCATCTGTGTGCCACTTGTGTGTCTCTATCAGTGAGGTTGGGTTTTTATTCCACCACCTCCAGAGCAGAGAATGAATCATGAGCTCCGTTGGCAGGACTCAAGAAGCACTGGATGCGAGCAGTTTCCAAAAGAGTTGAAACACTGTTTGACATGTAAATGGAAACTGAATGCAAATAATTTCAGGCTACATTCAACTGAAACAGAAGAAAGACAGCATGTCAAAAGTTATTTGGAAAAATGTATTCTGCTTTTCAATTTGATGCCAGCAGCACATTCAAGAAAGCTGCAGTTTGGGACACACTTCCCGCTCCAGATACTCGTTTTTAGAAAATACTCTGAAGTCTTTGGGAATTGACAAGATCAAATTGCTGCTACGAACTGTTCACAGCCTCCTTACCCATGTTTTTGTTTGCTAATGCTCCAGATGTTTTCGATAGGTGACTGGTCTTGACTTTGGATTGGTCACTTACAGCTGTGCCGAGGTGTTGTTATACGAGCAGAACGTGGTTTGACAGTTTTGCTTGGGATTATTGTCCTGTTATCTGACCCAGTTCTGCCAAGATTTACCTGTTAACCCTTTAAAGCCGGTCGGAGCGGGCACGCTCCGTTTTGCAAAACTTTAAATCCCTGTAGCTCTGCAACCACGT